AACTTGCTTATTTTTTTTGAGATATACGCGGTAGACCTAATTTCTTTGACCGATTTGACTTTCGATTTTTCATTATAATTTTGCCCTATATATGGTCAAAAATTGATAAACGTAAAACTATAAGTCCATGACAGTGCGTGGTATTTTTTTCGCATAGATATCAAAAAAATAATCATGTTTGAAAAAAAATCAGCTCGAACGGACATCGAATGCGAGTTTTATGTCCGTTTGAAGTTCAAATTTTCACTAGTACTCCTTTAAAATCACATTTCGTGAAACTTCAAATGACCGTAGATTTTTACTCGAGCATCTTTTGGGGGCGATTCTTTTTCAAAACTTGCTTGTTTTTTTTAGATTTACGCGGTAGACCTAATCCCTTTGACCGATTTGACTTTCGATTTTTCATTATAATTTTGACCTATATATGGTCAAAAACCGATAAACGTAAAATTAGAAGTCCTATTGCAGTGCGTGTTATTTTTTTGCGTAGATATAAAAAAAATAATCATGTTGAAAAAAAAATCAGCTCGAACTGACATCGGATGCGAGTTTTATGTCCGTTTGAAGTTTAAATTTTTAAAAATACCCCTTTAAAGTTACATTTCGTGAAACTTCAAATAGTCGTAGATTTTTCCTCGAGCATCTTTTTGGGAGATTCTTTTTTAAAACTTGCTTATTTTTTGAGATCTATGCGGTACACCCAATTCCTTTGACCGATTTGACTTTTGATATTTCCTTATAATTTTGCCCTATATATGGTCAAAAATCCATAAATGTAAAACTATAAGTCCTATGGCAGTGCGTGGTGTTTTTTCCCATAGATATCAAAAAAATAATCAAGTTGGAAAAAAAATCGGCTCGATCGAACATCGAATGCGCGTTTTATGTTCATTTGAAGTTCAAATTTTCACAAGTACTTCTTTAAAGTCACATTTCGTGAAACTTCAAATGGCCGTAGATTTTTTCTCGAGCATCTTTTGTGGCGATTCTTTTTGTAAACTTGCTTACTTTTTCGAGATTTACGTGGTAGACCCAATCTCTTTGACCTATTTGACATATATTTTTTCTTATAATTTTGCCCCAATTATCATACATTTAATTTTATTGACTTGCAAGTTCATCACAATGTGTGAATATGTAATTTTTCCTGATATTTTTGTAACCAATTACCACAAAAGAAAGTGAAATAAAACAGTTCAGAACTACAATTCTTTGTGATCTCACGCATTATTATAGTGCTACAGATTATTGCATAATTATTTTTTTATAAAGGTTCCCAATTTGTGGGAGTTTGGCAAGCTGGGATGAAAAAGGAATTTAAATTGGCTAATACTTTTCTATCAGTATTAGATATGATGTTGTGTCTAAATTTTTTTTTGTTATGTCATAGGTAATTTAAGTTTTAATTGATAAAAACTTACTCGCACGTGATATTTATATTAAATCATATAAATTTACCACGATTAGGAGATTTGATAAGCGAAAGACCTTTATTGATTTGATATAAACTATTGGAGTTAGTACGAATTTGTCATTTTCTACATGTATTTTCGAACTATTTGCTCCTTTGTGACGATACATATAGTTTCCAACAAAAAATAAGCTCGTATAAGAGGCATTTGCCTTGCCTTTTAAACTACAATGAATTTTATGCATCACGATACTTTATCATCAAAACAATGCAAGGTAACATATAAGATGCTTGAATAATGAAAACAATTTAATATAATGGTCGAAAATGTTATCGGGTTTTTTCAACTTCTTTTCTTGTAAGCTACTCAATAAATTGATCCCTTTGTACACATTCATACTACAAAATGGTGTGAGTGTGTTGTGTTGTTTGTGATGTCTCTAACACACTCACCACCACATTGAAGTTCTTAAACAGAAACTTCAACTGCTATCACCAAGCAAGAATATAGACTAAACATCAGCACTAATTTTCTTATTTTGTTTCTGGTTCTTTAAGTTTGTAAAAGTACATTTGATTGAAGGTAAAAACTCTCGTTTTTAGCATTTCGCTCAAACAAGCTCTCATAATTCTGCAAGAAAAATGAGATGCAATGTATTAATGTGTCACAAGATAATGGCAAACACTTAAACAAACCTGCACAATTTTTTTCCAAGATGAATCCTCTGTGACACCAAGAATCTGTCTTGCCTCTGCTTCCGTCATGGTTTTGCTAGCTGCTTTTATATTCTGCACTGCTTCTTGAGCAACACCATTCTTCGAGGCATCTGCCATCAGGATAGAGTAAGTACAAAGTGTGCAAGATGTGCATGGAAGCAAGAGAAAACAAAACAAACCAAACATCCCAACAGCCCCCAAAATACTTATGATGCAGAACAGAACGACTCAGATTAATTATTTTCAAAAGAACAGGAACATGAATTCAGAAGATACTTACTAGACAATGCCTGACGATATGCTTGAACAAAAGCCCTTGCCAATATAGAAGAGCCCATTACAATTAAATTAGCAAGAATTTTTGCAGCCTGTCTCAAGATCAACATCATGATTGTATAGTTGCCAAAATAAGATACCATTTCAAGTAAGAACCGTGTTGGTGAAAGAGTTTCAAACTTTATGATTTTACTTTGTTTACGAGGGGGATTACTCTGCCTGGGGGAGCTCGGGCAAAAGAGGAGGGGTGCAATAGCCAATGTAAAACTAGTCAATTAATATGAATCCTCAACAATACTTTGTCTAGGGGGCAGAGGGGAGGTCACATGATTATTCATTAAACTATTTTTACTTAGCCATCAAATATGGTTGCCAGTGCAACCTAGCTAAGTAACGGAAACATAATTAACAATGGCAGAAGGAACGAAAGCATACTGGAGACAAATACTTTGAAAAGCTTAGAGGTAAAAACTAGATGCTGAACTAAATAATTCATTTTTCATTGACCTCAATCACATTAGCCATATTTGAACTAAACAGTGACTACCCTTAAAAGATTAACTGGAACACTGCAAAACAAAGGACTAAATCACACTTATTCAGAACTTTGTGGATATACAAAATCAGACAAGACTAGAAATGTTCGTGTGCAGCAGAAGGGACAAGTAACACCCGTAGAGGATAAAAGGAGAGAAGGTCGTTTGAGAAGGTTTAATCATGTCCTATGTTGATCTCTGATGCACTAATCTATAAATGTGAAACTATAATCAGAATGTGTTAAGAGAAAGAGGTAAACCTACAATCTCTTGGAATTTATGCATATTTAGCAAAATTAATTAGAGCATAACTAGTTGAAATTACAGTTTAGTCATGTTGAAAAGTTTACATTAGGTCTACTGTTTGCTTAGCAAAACAATAGTTAAGGATTCAGATACAACAAGTCTGGGATAAAGTCTTTTTTGTGTTTTTGTCAGCTAATCTCCACCCCTAAAAATCCCCCACCATGATATTTTTTCTCATTTTGCTCCATTTGCTAATTATAATGTAAATGATTTGATCAGTATTGGGAGATCAATACAACTAGAGTATACCAAAAGAGCAGAGAAACCCGCACATCCAGCATTGCGCTCTTACCACTACCAAAAGCTTGAGTTGAATATCATCCAGATTTATATCTTTTAGAAGGACAGTTATAGGAGATAAGGAATCATGTCTACAAAAACCTAAGAGTCATTTCATTAAGCACAAAGGTGGTGACTAACATTTTGAGTCCCAAAACATACATCAACGTTTCCCTCCTCCCTCCATAATGAAACAGTGTATCAATTTGATATTGGTTGAAGAATTAAAAATCAAAGATCCAAACATTATTAAAAGATTTTAAAGACTTCTATAAACCAGCTAAACAATTAAAGAAAACCCAACAACCCAACCAAACAATGATAATCAAATTCAAGGAAGAATGGATCGGCAAGCATATCCTGGAAAACATTATACCAATAAATAATAAATAAGATGACAGTAGAACATACCATTGCTGATATACTAAGGTGGCTCTAACCAGGAAATCGGCAATGTGCAACCTAAGAAACGACCAAACAACATGGAAGATCAATCAGATTCAAGAATCAAAATCTACTTGAATGCATATATGACTAGTTCCCAGTAAGATAAATTATTAATAGCGAAAACAGAAGAAGCTAGAATCTGAGCATCAAATGTTTCCCTTTGTTTTTGAATAGTTAAACATGCACGCAGTTAATCATCAACGAGTTTGGAGAAAGCAGCAACACAAATATCCGGATTAGAAAAAAATCTTACTGACAACATATCAGACTAAAAGTATCACGGCAAAGAAATAATTCCTTCATGAGTCTTCCATGCTATGCATTTTCTTCCACTCACTTACTCCCTCCCTTATAATTTATTTATCTTACTTTCCTTTTAGCCCGTATACGAAATAATTTTTTTACGGGGAAGTGTTTGATCAAGCTATTGAGTGTGAATGGTGTCTGCAATACTGTCAATCTTGCTGCCAAACTGGACCTATTTGCAATGTTAAACCACATAAACAGGACCTTAAACAGAATAAACCAAAGCAGACAAAAAGTAGGAGTAAGAAAAATCAGCAGATATGGATAAATAAACAAGATCAGCCAGCTGTTGGGACTGAAGCAGGACCAGAGGTTGTAACCCATATAGTGAATGATGAGGGATGGAAACAAGTAAAGGGGAAGTCTACCAGCAAACACCTTGTTGGCACCAGTCAAGAGAGAGCCCAAGGTGATTTTAATAATTGCTTTAGTCCACTGCAGGAGACTACTTTCCAGCAGGTATTTCAAGTTGCAATGGACGTACGTGGTAGAAAGGGGGCAGAGTAGCAGACACGGAGGGGACAAGACTCCTGATTCACCCTTACCGAAAACTCAATGATAGTAGCCTCCTGGAATGTAAGGGGCTTCAATAAGCAGTTCAAACACAAAGAGCTGCCTTGAGTAATAAAGAAGGAGAACATAGTAGTTTTAGCTATAACCGAACATCGAGTCACAAAGCAAAAGGCTCCCGTCATAGCGAAGAAAGTTTTTCCCCAATGGAGCTGGTATGGATCAAATGAAAAAGGTCACTGGTGCACTGTTCTATTCATCAAAGAAACGGGGATATAAATAAGTTTAATGTTCTCTGCAGTCTATGGACTTCATACCATCAAGGATAGGATTGACATGTGCAACTGCTTGAAGGAATGGAACCCACCAATCAACAACCATGGTTGATAATGGGTGATTTCAACGCTGTTCTAAATTTAGACGATAGGTTGGGGAGCCAAATTCAGGATGCTGAGGTGAAGGAGGGAACTTACTGACTAATACTGGATTGTCCGTGCTTAAGACTGTTGGAAGGTTATATACCTGGACAAATTCTCATGTTCGCGGCAGAATTGACAGGGCCGTTGTGAACCCTTCTTGGATGACTCATGGCCACATCTGCAAGTCCCACACTTCTCTGATCATGTCCTTCTTTTGTGTCACAATTGAAGAGATAAAAGGGAAGCACGCCAGACCCTTCAGGTTTCTTAATCACCTGAGTCACCACAAAGACTTTATGGACATTGCGCAAAGTGCCTGTACAGGGCACTTACATGGTGAAGGTATGGAACAAGTTAAAGTAAATGAAAGTTGCTATGAAACAGTTAAATAACAAGGACTTCTCTAAAGTGGAGCAAAGAATACTTGAATCTAGAAGACATTTGCTAGAGATTCAAGAACAATTGCGAGATTGCTATCATGATCAGGAGAGGAGATTTCAGAAGCTATGTTCAGTTCTTTCACATTGGTGCCTAAGGTACCATCTCCTTCCTCCATAAAGGTATTTCGACCAATCTCATGTTGTATAAATTGATCTCCAAGGTGCTAACTAAGTGATTACAAGGTGTGATTGACAGCTTCGTTGATATGGGACAGGCTGCCTTCGTGCCCGGTAGAGTTATATTACATTTATGTGTAACCTAAGAAATGACCAAACAGCAAACATAAATAACTATTCATAGTGAAAATAGAAAAAGCTAGAATCAAATGTTAAACATGTTTCCCTTTCTTTATTAATAAGGCCAGTTAAACATGCACATAGTAGTTAAGCATCAACGAGTTTGGAGAAAGCAACAAGATTCAAGCTTAATACAAAATAAAGAAAACAAGACCCTTGCCACTTAAATCAGTATTTTCAAGCTTAAAATCCTCTGATTCCATGGAACCAAAGGATTATGTTGTGAGATTGGAGAAAATTTATTGATAGGGAAGAGAGGTGAGACACTAAACTATAGCCAAAACCTCTAACTTTATTTCCATAATTAGTTGGGTAACCAACACATATGTTCACACCTTCTTAACGCCTATTTTTTACATTTAACAGATTTTTTAAAAGAAATTGCACAACTTTTGCTCACGTCGAAAAAGTGGTTCAACCGTTTAATTTTTCACAAGACGATGACCCTCTTACCATTATATCGAAACCATCTCTTCAAACCTTATTTTACAAAGTTGTCTATTAAGGGCTACTCTGGACTCTTTAAGTTGTAGTCAATAACATCGACAAGAGTTCTTATTATTACAGTTAAATTTTTTAGATCTAGAATTTTGTATGAGTTCTTCATTACTAATTGACTTATCGAAGTGAGAAAAAATTTGGTGTATCATCTGTAGAATTTTGAACAACTTGGAATGATAAATAATTATGTTACTATATGAAGTGAAACTTGATTCTAATTAGGCACATTAACGAATTTGAAATAATGTGTATGTTTTTTATATAATTATGTGTATAACTAATTAGTATATTTTATGAATATTAAAAATTCACTTGATTTTTTTTGTTAAATTAGTACTATTAGTTAGTTAGTAGATTATATTTTCAAATTAATTAGTTCATACTTACTCTCTCTATTTCACATTAGCTTAAGTTTTGAAGTAACTTTAAGGTGTTTATTTTTACTGCTATTAATTATTATAAAAATAAATATTAATTATACTAACTAATTCCGATTCTAATTTGAAAGGATAAAATTGAAAGAATATTTTAAAAGAAGATTGAAAATTTAAGTTTATTTAAAAAATCAAAAAAAGACTCAAAACTTGAGTTAATATAGGTGGGGGAAGTATTTTATTTCATTAAAATCAAAAACCTTTGAATTTTATAAATTTGATTATATACGTTAAGAATTGACGCCCGGCTTCCTTTATTTTGATATTTTTCATTTCAATTTCGAATACAAATAACGGCTCTTTTCATTTCAACACAAATACAGTAGTTTGTTCTCTTCTTTCTTCACTATCATACTCTTCCATAGTAGCAATGAAGATGGGTTCAATTTTACTTCTTCTTCAATCAAACAAAACCACTTTTTTGTGGGTGTTGCAGCAAGAAAATGGCGAAATGATGGTGGTGAGGATAAAATTGGCAAATGAGTAGAGATATTCCTATGCTTCTTGAATCAATTTTCGTATGCCACTGCTAGATTTCAGGTACTTTTTCCCATTTTCGTCTGATTTAGGTTGGAGTTTTAGTTGATTTGATTGAATAATTTACTTTTTCCCATTTTCATCTGATTTAGGGTTGGGGGTTTAATTGATTTGATTGAATAATTTACTTTTTCTCATTTTCATTTGACTTAGGATCAGGGCTTTAGTTGATCGATCGAATAATTTATATATAACCTCGAAATTAACTTGTAGGAATGGGGGATTTGGTATATCAGACATGAGTAATAGTTCACTGTGCTGTTACTTCTTAGAATTAGCAATGAAGCATTTTCAATTTTGTTTTGCTGAAACCATTCTTCTTGTATATTGATGAATTCTAGTAATTCAATTGAGATGAAACAAACAACATCAATTCAATGACTAAAGTGATGCTTTGGTGAATACTTCCAAGACCATAAACACTCGTACATATGCCTTATGGCCAAATTGAATTACATTTCTGTATTGTTTTTGAATAACATCTCGTTTCGTCCTCCTATCTACGCAATTCTCTGTCTTCGTTCGTGATCATGTTGGGCGAAAGGTAGTTGTAGAGGAGCGGAAAGCCACTTGACTGTAAGGAGAGGAGCACCCCCTGTTTTTTTCTTTCCCTCATAAGCCTCTGGGAATGGAATGGATCCTAAGAATAGTGGAGTAGGAAAGGTAGTATATGTAACAGGGGAATCTGGTTTCATAGCTTCATGGATGGTCAATTTGTTGCTATTGTTTGCAATCTCATTCACTGCTGTTCCGCTCCTGTTTGTGTTTGTTTTGAATTTCTGTTTAACTAATATTTTGTGTATCACCATGAGTTTGGATCCTATACAAACAACCTCTGCTCCAAAGTACTCTCTATCTAGTACACAATCAAAAAATGATAACTAGGGAAAATAGGCAAATAAGAAGTAAAACTTTTTGAAAATTGTGAAGAAAGATACTGAAGGCAAACCTGCGTTTAGTTTTCTCAATAGTGGCATTGATAGCAAGTGCAGGGGCGCTATCAGGTGCATAAAATTTCAAAGAATTTTGAAGCTTCTTGATCTGTTGCTTCTCCCTTTTAGCAAACTGTTTTGAGTCCTTGCAAGGTGTAAGCCTTGAGATATCAGCAGAAGCTGGAAGAACTGGTGCTGACAAAAGAATTGAAGACAAAGCAAGTGCTTCAGAGAATGCCTTTAATGAAGAAGAACTTTCCTCTGTTGAATTAGAAACAGGGGTTTGGTTTAAAGAACACACAATGGCTGAAGTTCTTTGTTTTGTGATAAATTAAGACCCAAATTTAGATGTTGAAATTTACATGGCAGTGTTTTTCATGTTTGTGCCTTGTACTTATTTGGATCATTTTACAAGTTTCTGACTTTGGGCTTATTGCATTGCCTCAAAAAATAAGCAGCATCTGATGTTAGATGGATTAGATGGTATATATATTTTTGTTTCTTTCTTTGTTAAATAGAACTTCTATATGGTTAGTTACTTAAATCTCTAACAGGGAGTAGAGCTTCTTAATATCCTATGTGGTCTGACCTCTATCCATTTGATTAAGGTTTTTTTTAGAGAGACGAGAAAACACAAGTTTGACGAATAAAATACATCCACGAGGGAATAAACAACAATTCAGATTGTGTTACTGCTCTTGTTTTGCCAGGCTGTACGTTAATGGTTAAAATATAAAGCTTGGAAGCTATCGTCAAATTTTCAAAGAAAATGGTGTTAATGGAGAGAATTTGGAGGGGATGTCCTGTTTCTTTTAATTTGTTATCTATTGTCAATGTTTCATTATTTATTTGAGTTTTAGTTTGTGCTCAAAATAGGTTGATTAATCTAGAAACTATTTATGCTCATTTTTAAGTGTGTTCACTGTTACATGTATCACTTTTTCTCTCAAGTGATTTTATTTCTACTAGTGTATAATTCATGATCATGGTTTAGTTTTCTCTTTAAATACCATATTCTTGTTCTAAATCAGTCCATTTTGGTCAAGCACTTTGTTTTACCCTTTGAATTTTTTTAAAAAATTGAATGAGTATGTTAGTATTGTTCACTGCCTCAATCCATCATAGTGTCATAATTATGCTTTTCACTTGGCTTCCATCTTGTGTTTATAATTTTGCTGTCATCTTTTTCATCTAATTTGAGTAAAAAATCTGATGTTTTGAACCGAATACATTTCAAGTCACCTTTAAACTCTCACCAGGTGCTATGTATTTAAATCTCGATGGAGCTCAAGCTTGTAACTTTTCTTTCACTGATTTTGCTCAATTTTGCTATCTCTAGAAATTTCATCAGCCTTGATTTAGATTTGAGTAATGTGAAAGCAATTCCTGTCTAGCTAACTTATTAGCATACATTTGCATTCACAATGTGCCATATTTAGCTGTCTTATTCTTATGTGGTTAGTGTTTGGGCATTGTTTAGTTATTATTTTTTTGGCTTCCATGGTGTTAATATTCATATATACATCTGCAGGTGTTTCATATGTTGAAATGGCTCCATAAAAGCTTATAAGAACTTATGATGTCTATTTAACATTTGCAATCTAATAAGAATTCCTGTGTGTTGATATTCCAAAAGATAGCTTTCATCATCATCTAGCAACTTTGTTTATGTTCCCTCTTTCCGGCACAAGTTTTGCAGGTTACTGATTTTCTAAGCTTGTCTGTTTTTTCCCCTTTTTAACAGATTTATATATACTTAAATGGTACCTTTTGCATATAACATCGTATACAAGCATTGTTAGGCCAATATTTATTAGTGGATAATATTAACTAATAAATCTAATTGAATATAAAAGAAAATATCGCTAAATCCTTTCCTTTTTTACATTCTTTGTTCAAGCCAACCTTGTCAAAACCAAAGCTAACATACAAGTGGAAGGAGCTGATAAACGACCTATATACACTGTTATACAGTGTTACGCTCTCTCTCTCAATAGTTGGATTGTATTTAGTTATTTTTGTTTTGGTTAATTCTAACTTTGGATACTTTAGATTAATTTAATTAAATGAATAACTCCAGGCTTCGAATAGTTTACTAAAATTTTTTGGTATATTAATTTTGTTTTGAAGAGCTTTTTTTAAGGGCGAGGTGGGGGACCACAAGGCACAGCGCCTCGA